CTAGGTGTCGTTTCAAGTCTGTCGTGTCTGCTCCGTGCTCCAAGCCCGTCCCGTTGTAGTGCTCTGCGGCCGCTTGCCACAACTTGAGAAGTACGTCGGCTGTGATGGCGTCTAGGCTATCAGTGTGGTCGCCTAATTCTCCGTCCAGCGGGAACTTCCAGTCGTTCTCGTCGCGGTCGACCCAGTGCTCTGGCCCTCTGGAGTCCCAGCCCAGCTCCCAGAGCGCCAGTGTGATCGATGCAGTAGGACCTCTTCCTTGGGCCCATCTTCTGTTGGCTGGAGCCCTGAGCATTCTGAAGTAGATATTTGGCCGCGCGCGTCTTATCTGTGCTCGTAGGTCTGGGCTGCGCCCCAGCAATTGAACCAGTTGGCGAACTGCGCTATTGCCGCGGTGAAGGCCGGGTCGACGCATTCCAAGTCTAAGTGCGTGGTAAGGCATCTTCCATGCCATGGTCGTCGTAGTGCCTGTGCGTATTTGCGTCTCGCGTATAGCATTGGGGTGGGGGCCAATCCGTGGAATGCCGTGCCGTACTTGAGCGAGGCCATGGCGCCTTGCTGCGTGATGTTGGCCTTCGTCTTGGTTCTGAGCCTCGTCGGCTTCCTGCCCGCTGCTCCGAGTCTGCGTCGTGCCGCTTTGAGTCTGTTGGCGTGTGCTTGTCTTCTGGTTGTGCCTCGTGCTGCTCTGTCTGCTCCGAAGTCCCTTCCCTCTGTAGTAGCCTCGGGGGGGATGCCTCGGAGCTGCAATTGTTCGTGGATCAGCTTGGCGTCGTCGCAGCGGGTCGACACGAGGGTGGTCTTGTCCGCCAGCTCGAGCCCTTGCTCCTCCAGCGCGAGGAGGAGCTGTTGGGTGGTGCTGACTGTGGCTGACACGATTTGGCCCCTGCGGCCGACGACGCGAATGCTGATGTCGTCGAACCATGCTCGAGGTATTGGTCGTGGTAGTCGGCTCGTGCTTGTGAGCCTGGCCATGGCCGCGTACACCACAGCACGTGCAATGTTATTTGCATGTCGTGACCCAGCGAGGATGGAGCGGTCGGCGCACATGGGGAGTGAGCATGACCCTTGTCGGCGCAACACACTCGTAGCAGTGTGTTGCAGCATTTTCAGGTACAGCTGCCACGTCGAAGGCGTCGGCGCATTCGTCCGCGACGAGGCGCCTGGGCGCTCCTCTCAGGCAACTCGTGCCCGCGATGGCCGCGTCCCATTCCCTCTCGTAAGTCTTTGCCCAGCGTCGAACATGGTCTCGGCGTGTAAGCTCCCAGCAGCGAAATAGTTGAGGTAGCAAGGCCAAGGCTCTATCTCCCTTCGTGGGTTTGGGAGTGACCATAACGACTGATAGCACTAGCTGCCATGCCTACATGAGGTGTTGTTCGCATCAGTTGAAGAGGTCGACCGCTGCTTGTCGCCCTGTCCGTGGTGGGCGTCGTAGGTCGCTGTGTCGTAGCATGTCAAGTCCGTTGCCATTGTCTGGTTCCCTTTCAGGCATCTGTCCAGGTCCTCCACTGTCCACGACGGGGGCAGTGGCCCATCTTCCGCTCTCGCCTTGAGCTTGGCCAGGGTGTGGACGCGTTCGTGGTGTGGGACTTCTGGGCTGGACAATTTGTCATTGAAGTCGACAGCCTTGTCGTCAATGATGTCCTTGGGGCTGCGTGGCACTTGATCGCACCTGGCCACATCTTGTTCGCGTCGCGGTTGTGGCGTCGCGATCATGCGGAGCGCGCCCGTCGTCTTGGCGGCCGCGGCGAGCCATGCGCAGTACTCGCGGTTGCTTTGGCGCAGGTCGCGTCGCAACGCTTCTCTCTCCCACCCCCCCGCTTGAGCTGCCATGCGTCTTAGAACTTCCAGCGGGGCCTGGTCTAGCTGCGTAAGCCTTTGTCGCCATAGGTCGTGGTGGCAGCGGGCTGTGTCGCTATCCTGCTTCCCAAGCGAGGGTAGACCTTCTCGCGCAAGTCGTCTACCTGCTGCGTGTAGGTCTTGTTGCAATCGATGTCCGCGTCCTCTTGGCTGGAGCATGACCGATGTCGCCACTGCATTCTCTGTCCTGCTCTACCAATCCACTCGACGCGTCGCGAATCGTACCCGTCGTTCCCCTTCTCTTGAAGGGGCGCCGTCTTAAACCCGTAGCCTTCGCCGCGTCCTCTGAAGTGATCGCGGCCCTCAAGGGGCATCGTGTATGCGATGCAGCGGAATGTCTCCAGCGCGCCTATGAAGTGGTGGTAGTGCTTGCCCATTTCCCCTGCTTGAGTTGGGTCTGCACGATATGCGGCGCACGTCATTATGTGAGCAGGTGCTGACCGATGGGCGTTGTGGGGCAGCGCCGTCGCCGCGCCCCAAGCGTCGCCCACGGCTGCGGCATCTACTCCCCCGGCGCGCGCGGAGATCTGATCTGCAATTGATTGCTGTCTTCCGCCCCTGTGAGAGGTCGCGCAGTCCATGGCGTCGGTCGTCGAGGTCATTGCGGTCAGCTTCCGCCCATTGAGCGCTGGGGGCCGCGCTGCTCCTCTCGCCCAGGTCGCGCACTCAGCGCGTCGAAGGGGCCCGCCTCTGCGATGTCCATCGCGCTGCTCCCGTGGGCCGTTGCCGCGGTTAGGCTGGCCAAGTCTCCACTCTCTTCCAACCTCCCGTGTAGTTGGGGCGGCGGGGTCTCGACCTGGCTGCCTGAGGTCGTTGTGTCGTTGGAGGGTAGTAGTTCCATCCACGAATGCCCAATGCCCCCCATCCCTCCGCGTCCGCTCTGTCGAGGTCGTAGGGTTCGATGTGCGCGTCTGGGTCGGGCATGGGCTTGGGCTTCTCCTTTTTGCTGCCCTTGCTGTTTGGGTTTGCCTTCTGTCGCTGAGGCAGTGGCCGCGGGCGTGCTCTTCGGCGCGTTCAGCTTCCTGCGCTCGTTGTTGTCCAGGTCTGCTGTAACTGCGATTGCCAATCCAATGTGCGGCCTCCAGGGCGCATCGTGCACTGGTTGCGTGCCCCGCGCCATCGCCCGTCCAGCCTCGTTGACCAGCGCGAAGTGGACGTCGGCTGGTCTGCTGCCCCCCAGGAAGCGCGCGTGCTGGTCGCCGGGCAAAGTCGCGGCGCTAGTGCGAAGTGTTGAATCGCCGCGGGCGATCCAGGGCGTCGCGACTGCGTTGAAGAAAGCCGCGAGCGCGGTCAGATTCCCGGCGTCGATTCCGCTCGCGGCGGCGCGGCCCGGGTCGAGGAGAGAGAGAGAGAGAGAGAGAGAGAGAGAGAGAGAGAGAGAGAGAGAGAGAGAGAGAGAGAGAGAGAGAGAGAGAGAGAGAGAGAGAGAGAGAGAGAGAGAGAAAAAAAGAGAGAGAGAGAGAGAGAGAGAGAGAGAGAGAGAAAGAGTAAGAGTAAGAGTAATAGTAAGAGTAAGAGTAAGAGTAAGAGTAATAGTAAGAGCAAGAGACAGAGAGAGAGAGAGCGAGAGATAAAGGGAGAGAGAGAGAGAGAGAGAGAGAGAGGGAGAGAGAGAGAGAGAGAGAGAGAGAGAGAGAGAAAACAAAAAAAAAGAGAAAGAGAGAGAGAAAGAGAAAGAGAAAGAGAGAGAGAGAGAGAGAGAGAGAGAGAGAGAGAGAGAGAGAGAGAGAGAGAGAGAGACTTTTTTTGAGGGGGAAGATGGGGGCGGACCGCATGATTCAATAACCACCGTCGTAACGCGAATGCCGGTTGCACTTGAAAGCCGTTCTTTCCCTCGCCAGGCGCGTGGGAACGGACGCACGCATTGCAGTAAAGTGTCCGGCCTGCCGGGCTTCCCACTCGAGAGGAGGAGGAGGAGGATGGGGGGGGGGAGGAGGAGGAGGGGGGGGGACAAGTGAAGCCAGATGGCGAAGGATACGAATTAACCCTAAAACGCATCATCCCCTGGCCTGCCAAGCCGACGTTGGACGGGCCCGTCTAGAACGGCCTCGGCGGCCAAACAATACAAACACCATGGCTGGAGAGAGGAGAGAGGACGAGCAGAGGAGAACTCCACGACACCTGGAGCAGCGCTCAGGCCAACCTGCCGTAGCGAGCCGCTGCGCGCAACAGGGGGCTTGCAAAACTGGCGCTGCCGGACACCTCGGCCACCCAGGTGATAATAATGCACACTGCCTAGCTGGAGTTACGAATGCACCGAGAAATATATCGGCGCCCAGGCCGAGCGAAAGCATATCTGCCGCGATGGCAAATGATGCGAAGCGGAGACGAAATGGCAGACCAGGCCCTGCGGAAGAGAGGGAGAGAGAAGAGAGGACGGGGGGGGCGGGAACAGGACGACAATGATACGAAAAATGCCAAAACTCGTATCACAGCGACGTGGGCACAAGTGCCACAGATATTACATATAATTCAAGTGGCATCGACTGGTGCGCCCGAAAACGACCGAGAGGAGGAGGAGGAACACAGATGCAACAAAACGTGTATTCGGTGACGCGCGTGGCTGCTAGCTGTCCTGGCGGGGCCTCTTGAAAGCGATCTCAACGGGATGCTGGGCGCGAGAATGGTCAGAGACCGCTTCGCGGACAAAGCCGCGGAAGGTGTCGGCCCCGTCTGCGGCGCGGAGGCCGTGTCTCACTGCGTTGTGCGTTCTATACAGTGCATGCGCACCTATCGCCCGGAGCGCTGCCGCCGTGGCCCTGGCGCTGCCGTCCTGGCAGTGCACTGGGGGGGCGGCGCTCGCGCGGGCGAATGCCCAGAAAATCACTGAGGCGCTCTTGTGCGGGTGGCCGGCTAAGGCCGAGGCACTGCTGGCAGAGGGAGTGGAAGGGGCCACAAATGACGTAATGTTGCATGCTGTCTTCCCCACGCGGGCACTTGAAAAAGGCGCCCCCCTGACTTACCGAAGCGGCGGGCAGTGATCCATCCGTTCCAAGCAGTCCGAACTTGACACGCCTGCGCTCTGGGCGGGAGGAGAGGCGAGGAAAGAGCGAGAGTGTTGGGCCACCGTGCGGGCCTGTGGCCTGGCAGGACGTCGAGTTGCCACTTGTCCAAGCGTTTCCTAATGTGCGTGGCCGCGGAGGGCCGGGAGACAGCGTTAAAAGTCCGCGCTGCCTGGGCCTGCCACCCGCCCCGCTCCTGGGCGGCAGGGCTCGCGGGATCAAGGAGAGACGGCGCAACGCGCAGCTGCCGCTCGGCAGCCGTAAGCCCACTTGTGGCGCCACGGGGCGAGAACAAGAAGTTCTGGTCGACGTAGCGTTGGAAGTACTGGACTCGGGGCTGGTTCCTGGCGTCGCGGCTCACCCAGGGGAGCTGGCGAGCGCGGGCCTGAATCCGGAGACCGCCGCGCGCGGAATTCTCGAACCTGGCGACCCGGGCCCTGGCCGCCCGCGCGGCGGACTGGACGTCGGGAAGGGCCTTCAGAAAGCTCAGCGACTTCAGGTCCTTCAGCGCGCCCACGGAACACCAATCCTTGGGGCCGCGGAAGAGCGCGCGGCACGCTTGTAGCTCGATCGCCTCGAACGCGCGCGGCAGCGGGTCGAGCTGCGCGACGAACATGATCACCGAGCACACAAACACCTGGTAGGCCAAGAAAGTGTTGTATATATATATATATACGTATATATATATATATATAGAGAGAGAGAGAGAGAGAGAGAGAGAGAGAGAGAGAGAGAGAGAGAGAGAGAGAGAGAGAGAGAGAGAGAGAGAGAGAGAGAGAGAGAGAGAGAGAGAGAGAGAGAGAGAGAGAGAGAGAGAGAGAGAGAGAGAGAGAGAGAGAGAGAGAAAAAAAAAAACAACAGCCAAAAAGCAACAACAAATGATATATATATAATGAGAATGAGAATGGGAATGATAATAAGGAGCGAGATGCCACGCATGTGTTGGGCGACTGGTGTCCAGTCGCACATGCCGATGTCGCCCGGTGCTCGTCGAGCGTTTACGAATTATTGCGCTTGAGACAGCGTTCCGACTTTCCCTGCGGCGGAATGATACAGCTTTGAGATGGCCCTTTGTCAGAGCAGCTGCGCCCCCGCAAGCGCCATTCTCGCAAGAGCTCGCTCGCCCTCGCCGCCGCGAGCGCTGCCGAGAAGCCCGCCCGCTGCAGCGCGTGTTCCGTGGCGTCGAGGAGGCGCTGGCCAAGGCGGGTCTCCTGCAGCGCGCGCGTCGCGTGGTCGACGCGCGCCGTCGCGCCGCAACCGGCTCAAGGCCGCGGGCCCCCAGGTCGCGATCTTGGCGCTAAAGATGAGGCGGTCGCGGCGGGAGTCGTCGCCAGACTGCCTTCTCCCGCCCCGCCTTGGCCTTCAGCGGATTGCAGGGGCCTCTGCGGTAGAGGCCGCCGCTGCTCGTCGTTGCTGCGCGCGTGCCTCCGCCGCCTTCGCCTCATCCTGACTCCGGGGTTCCACCTCGCCATCTTTCGCAGGCGTCACCCTCCGGGGGGAAACCGTCGAGCCCGCCATGCAATCCTGCGTCGCCCGCTCTGCTTTCCTTTTCTTGAACGCCTGGCTGATCTGCGCGCGCTCCGCTTCCGCCTGCTTCTTCGCCGCGATGAGGTGCTCCTTCAGCTGGCCTGCGAACGTCCTGGCGTTCAGCTGCAGCTGGGCGAGCACCTGCTCATTGGCGTCCTCGACCGTTTTGCGGCCCTCCGCGCCCGTGTCCTCGTCGCAGGCGAACTCCTGCTCGACCTCGGAGATCTGCGCGTCACTGGGCGACCACAGGTCCGTATCTGTGTCGAGCAGCTGCTCGAAGATGCTCTTCTGGTGCTACTCCTTCGGCTTGCCCTCCTGCTGGATCGCCTCGATCTTGCTCTCCGCCGCCAGGACTGCGTCTGCTCGCCCTCGTAGAGTCTCACGAGCTCGCTCCGCCTTCTTCTCCGCAGTGTCCTTCTGCTCGAAGGCCGACTTGTACTTCTTGTTGGCGTCTTCGCGCTCTCTGGCAGCTTCTGCAAGCCTGGTGGCACGCGATCTAACTGGTGTGCTCGGAGTCTCCTTCCGCGCGCTTGCCACACCAGCTAGCTGCTTGGCGATGGCGTCCCCGTTGGCCAGCTGCAGCGAACCTATGGAGTTCGTGACCGTCTGCAGCGCGCTGGCGAGCTTGGCCATTCCAGTTTCACCACCATTGCCCTTGCCATTGCCCTTGTTCTTGTCCTTGCCGTAGCCCTTGTCCTTGCTGTCGCCCTTGCCCGCCTTGCCCACTGGGTCGGCATACCAGCTACCGCCATTGGCACCACCTGCTTGTTGTTTGGGCCTGGCAACTCTGCAACCACATTTGCGCCAATACTCCATGTCTTGCAGTGTGTGCAGGTCGTCCAGTGTTTTGCAGTGTGTGCAGGTCGTCCAGGTGGCAGGCGCCTCGCTGCCGTGGTGCATCTTGAGTATGTGCTCGGCCTTGACTTGCCGCGGCGGTGCCAGGCAGGTGAGCGGCTCCTCCGCTCTCGCCCCGTCTCTGGGGCTGAGGGCTCCTCGATTGCGGGCGGCCGCACCCGAGGCCGCGGGCAGGGGGAAATGGCTGCGCCGCCCCGCCGAAGATTCACCTAGAAGGAGGAGGAGGGGAGGAGGAGGAGGAGCAGGAGGAGGAGGATGGGGA